GGCTGGCAACTTTTTTCAAAAATGCTGGCGGGGAAAGAGTTAATCGCCTTTTTGGTAACTTCATGACTTAACCGACGACATAACTACGACATTGCATCCTCTTGTTTCTTTTGCGCTTTAATATGAAATGATACACAGCACGCGCTGCTGCATTTGTGCGTGCACTTGAAGAGCCCGTGCTATGAGCACAGTATAATGGCTGACAGGACAGGAAAATTTGTATTTACTGACATATGGCCTGACAACATCTCATTTGACCACAGTTCACTGTTGTTCTACTGAAGCTCCCTCATTACCATTTCCGCGCTTGTTTGACTAGCGCCTGGCGCTGAGGTGAAGTTGGAGTGCACGTCTGAAAAGTTTCCCGTTTGATGTGGTCATAACGAAGTTCTGCATCTAAATAAATGCAATTCTTGTCAAGAAAAAAGACAAAAGCAGCAGTTGTGAGTGGGGTGGCCAACCCTAGCTCCGCCCCTGTGAACTCTCGTTCTCTCGTGAGCTCACCCAGGTGAGTGAGGACAGATGTCAGGATTAACAGTAAATAACGATAAATGGCTATCAAATGGCTTCATAAGACATGGTATATGGCACACAAGTTGTATAGTTGTATTATTCAACCCATTTAAAAATCGATAGTTTTGATGAACGAAGATGAATAAACAAAGTGTGATATTTTAATCTAACTCACCCATAAGTAGTAGGTAAATTGCAAGGCAAAAATGGCAATGCCCTCATTGTCAAACGAACCGGCCACAGAGCGTGATATGTAGCCTGGTACGATGGCAATGAAACATGCTGCCAGCAGGCCGGCACCCTGGTTCCACAGCTCCCGTGTCAACAGGAAGGTAGAAATTGAGGTCAAGCCGCTGAAAACGGGGGCCAGAAACACGCAGACATCACGTATGTGCACCGTCACATGAAGCAGATTCAGTATGTAGTGGATCAGTCCCGCCGTCACCATCAGACCAGGATATACCTGCAAAAGACGAGATATAGGAGTAATAATTTATGCATTTAGCAGACGCTTTTATCCAAAGCGACTTACAGTGCATTCAGGCTATACATTTTTTTACCAGTATGTGTGTTCCCTGGGAATTGAACCCACGACCTTTTGCGCTGCTAACGCAATGCTCTACACCACTGAGCCACAGGAACACAGTTGCTATTAGTTGTAATCAAATGCAAAATTGACCAACCAGAAGTTTGCCTGCAGCAGTTTGAGAGAGAGGAAAAAAATAAATAAACACAATCAGCATCTGTAAGAAAGTGTGTAAACATTCCTAAATATTTGATTGGCCCCAAGACACCCAAGATAATGAGAAGTTTAGCCCAAGCACACCCTTAGAAGCCTGGTAATCAATCATCTTAAAGGAATAGTTCACCCCAATATTTCCCTCAATCACCCTCAGGCTTTCCAAGGAATAGATGTGTTTCTTTATCAGAACAGATTTGGAGAAATTTAGCACATCACCAGTGGTTTCCCTGCAGTGAATGGGTGCCGTCAGAAGGAGAGTCCAAACAGCTGATAAAAACAACACAATAATCCACAAGTAATCCATACGACTCCAGTCCATCAATTAACGTCTCGTGAAGTGAAAAGCTGTGTTTGTGTAAAACAAATACTTCACTGACAATTCCATCAATAAAATATTTTTATCTTTAAAATGTTGGCATCCTCCATCTACAATATTGCTTTTTTCAGTGAAAAAGTTGTCTCATTTGAATCAGGAGAGAAATATGCACAGATCAAGAACTGTTTACAAGCAAAAACAATCCAAAACAGTTCTAAACAAATATTTTCACGCGAGAGGAAAACAGGATACAGACTTTTTCACTGGAGGAAATGTTATTGTGGATTATTGGTATTTTATAAATGATATTTTGGATAGAAGTGACTGTTCAAAGTTAGAAAACCTTAATGATGGATTTGCATCTCATAAACATGCATCTCAGTTTTTCACTTCACAAGACATTAATTGATGGACTGGAGTCATGTGGATTTTTTTTAATGTTTTTATCAGCTGTTTGAATTCTCATTCTGACGGCACCCATTCACTGCCGAGGATCCAATGGTGAGGAAGTGATGTAATGCAAAATTTCTGTTCAGATGAAGAAACAAATTCATCTACGTTTGTAGATGGGTCAGTACATTTTCAAAATATCTTCTTTTGTGTTCCACAAATAGTCATACAGGTTTGGAACAACATGAGGGTGAGTAAATGATGACAATTTTCATTTTCGAAGCTGAATTTAGCAGCCAAAAACACCAAGAAAGGAAATACCCTGTCTTTTACCTCAACATTCCCACCCTCTCTTTTTCATCTCTCATGTGACGTGCGGCGTCTGCAGGCTATGCTGAGAACAGACCAGCCTGCTCTGAAGGCCGTATAACGACTGCTTGAAGTGTACATAACAGATGCTGTTCCCTGCCTTCTGCAGCCCCCCTACAGCTCCAACACCAGAGCTGTCAGATGCCAAACGCTAGCCAAACTTTCTCCAGCCAGGGAAGGAGCTCATTAGGTTCAGTAGCATTGCACTTCTCAGTGACAGGGAGTGTTAAAGGGGGTGGCCTTATTTAGGGACGAAAGATGCAGTTTTCAAGCAGAAATCATCCACAGGCTGTCTGTCCATAGGCGCTTGCACATAAACAGCCTGTGGCATTTAACTGCATTTTTTTTTTCATATAGAGGTCATAGATTAACAAGAACCGTTGTTGAAATGCCGAAAAAACAGATCTAGCCATTTACAGAGCTGAAACATTACTGGAAGTTCTGTATTGATGCTATATGTGAATAATGCTGCAGCAGCAACAGTTCGTGGAACAAGGTCAGAGTGCTATAATGTAAGAAGCCTGCTGTCAAAGAAATCGAGCCAATCCCTAAGCTTGGAAGAAGCTGAAATGATTTCATGCCGTTTGTGATGTTGAGTCACAAGCGACTATATAAAATGCAAACATTCAGCATGAGAATGCAACAATGTGTACATCATGCATTCAACTACAAATAATTTGTAGCAGTATTTCTAGATTAGGAAGTGAAAGGAATTGTCAGGAAACAGCATAATAGATTTTAATTTAGCGGTGGGTGTGGATGGCAGAAAGATTCACATGCACTGAGGTTAAATCTTGATTTTAAATTAAACCTTTGTATTAGTCAAGAATAGATTTAAAATACTGGAAAATGTGCCACTGCAATATGCGTATTTCACAGTGTATTCACACATGACTTATAAAAGAAGAAAAAAAGAAAAGGAAAAAATGGAATAAAGGAAAAGATATTAAAAAGAAAAATAAAGGAAATATGGTAACACTACAAAAAGGTTCCATTTATTAATATTCATCACTTTTTTAATTTGTTATCTACATTTACATGAACTAACAATGAACTGAACATTACTCCTACAGTATTTACTAATCTTAATTTCAACAGTTTCTAATATATTTTTTTAAATGAAATGTTAATGCACTGTGAACATGAACAAAAAATGAACAAATTTTTAGATTTTTTTTTTTTAAAACAATGAACAATGA